GAGAGAGAGAGAGAGAGAGAGAGAGAGAGAGAGAGAGCTTACCTGCACATAAAAGGCGTTGAGTAATTTTTTTTCTACAAAAAAATGTTGAGACATTTATGGGAGCTGGAAATGCAATCATATTTTCTTCGCAGGCAAACCCTTCCAACATGCAATCCAAATAAGAAACTCTCAGTTGGGTGGCGCTGAAATTATCTAACTTCTGGCGCGCTGAATTCGGATATGCGCTCAGTTTTTCGCGGCGCCCATCACCAGTTGCTCCGTGGCTGGAATCATGGCAAATTCGTGGTTGCTTAGCAGCAGCAGCAGCACCACCAACAGAAAAACGCCAGTGCCTCATCGCTATACGACTCGGTTTTCGGGCTGTATATATACTCGTAGCTGGTTCCCCTTTCGCGTTCCTGCGTTCGGTGACCAGAGATAATGACGGGGTAATCCCGCGCGGCGGGTCATTGGAAGAAAGTCGGTAATTACACGCGGGTCCGACCCGGGTATATATACAGTATAGAGAATTGCCGAGGGGGGGACGAAAGAGAAGAGAATGGGGAAAGGCGGCCGGCGTTGGCGAAGCCCGGGCATTGATGGATGGGCCGGGCGCGAACCTATCATGAAGCGTCGGATGGCCGGCTGGCTACGATTCTATTCCGCCGCGTTCCTGACTTGACGAAAAAATCCTCGGGTTGCAAACCCCGAACCCACACACACACACACACACACACCACACACGGAATGTCTTCAGCGTTACTGCAGTCATGCAATGCGGTGATGTGAGAAAGGGGGGTTTGGTTCGAAATAGGAAGGAAGAACCACATATATATAGGGTGTGTGTGTGAGAGAGAGAGAGATCCGCGCTCGCGGTTTACTGATGGGTAACTTGCGCACGGGGCTTTGCGCGGCGCCATGCTTTTCCTGTGCGAAACATGGCCGACCGACGCACACACATCAGGGCTGTTTTGGGTAACATGACCCTGGGCCTCGTTTTTCTTTTGTTTTTATTTCAACAGCCGGCGGTATACTGTATACGAGGACGCCATGAATGGTACCGCTGTGGCAACCCACCCTGCAGGGTATTCCGCGAGGTGCTGATGATGAAGTAACGCGAGGCGAAGCAAAGCTAACTTTTTCTGTCACGAAAAAATTAGCACCAAAATACAAATACAGTACTGTACTTTGTCAGCGAATGTAAGATGTTCATGATGGATGATGCTCTCAAATTCCTCTTACCAGAATCATGAAAGTTTGTTCATCTTACTTAGTATATTCTTCTCGCTTCATCAACCCCTAAAATGCTTTCCCGACTTCGAAATTAAATTTTTATTAAGGATTTGTTTCTCTTTATATCACGAGAATTTTTGTTCCGAAGCTTGTCATGAGAAAAAATAATCCCTTAAATCTAAAATCTCCTCAATCGCATGAAGCCGTAAAATACGATGTAGGAGTCATAGAGTATCTGGATTTAGAAGTACTGTGAGCACAATATCTGTAAAGAAGAGAATACCTTATATTAAAGTCAATACATGAAGCAAGTTTCGAGATGAATAGAAATAAAGACCAGCAATATACGACTGGAAGAAATTACGAAGTTAAATGTAAACTTTTCTGTATCCTAAACATTTCGAACCATATAGAAAAAGGTTAATAAGCATTGCGCTATCTTGAAAACCGTAAACTAGAAAAACCGAAACCCCATGAGGAAAAATAGTCGACATCCACATTCAATTTTTGTGGCTAGTGATTAAATGAATTTTTCCAGCGACAAAACAGGAAAGTCATGATGTACAATAATAAAAAATATCGACCGGATTTAATCAGGATCAACGTGATAAAGTAGGCTCAATTTATGATTCAGGAATTGATAAGAAAATATTTTGGATTAATGAAAAATCGCTTTTTTCATGCATACTGCAACTACAGGTTTGTTACGTGTTGAAATTTTAAGTACTGTATCATGAAAAATCATGTTCATGATGTACTGTATTTTCGATTACAGAGAAGTTTAATTCCCGTTGTATGCACGTAAAAATTACTATACCTGATACAGTCGTTCCAATGAGTATGATAGAGTACCTTCGTTTACTATTGGAAGTGCAGAAAGGAAGAAAAAAATAGTTGGCTTTCTGAAGGATTAAAATTATGAAATGGAAGATTCAAATTTACGTTTGATGAGTAATGCAGAAATAACATTTTCCAGTAATTTTTTCCCGTTCGAATGCGGAGCGTTTTTTTTTTCAGTATTCAAAGATTTTGGCAATTTTCAGTATACCGTCAAGATCAGGATATCAATTCCTAAATGGGGGAAAAAGTTACTTGTGTACTGTGTAAGACAAGGTTTTGATTGATCGAGAAACGACTTGACACTCGGCATGCATCCCGTTTCTCAAGTATCTTCCACCGTGTACTGAATTTTAAACGAGTCCATTTACAGGTTCTCGAACAAGTCGATGTTTTGATCGGACATAGAAAGGATTGCATTAGTTTTTTTATTTTATTAATGAGCTTCTCCCTTTTGTGCTCCCATTTTCGGAGTAAATCCGAGACTCGGTGTGGATACTGTGGACCTCTTCTCCGCTGGCGATTGCTGTATGCAAAATGAGCTTCGAAGGTTTTTTTTTCTTGCAACGAAAATGTGAACATTTTTGGGGAGAAATTTTTTCCGTGAATTATTTTTTTGTATTTTTTATTTTTGTTTTCGATTTCGTGAATCCAGTCGAATCCAATCCGTTTTTCTGGCTTCAATTCACGGTTCGTCGGGTCCAATGGGTGCCCACCAGCGCGGCTTGTGCTCAACTGGAACGCCAGCTGCGCCGATTTCTGCTCAGATGTAAAAATATTCTCTATTTTATTTTCATTCTCACTTTTATGTTTTTTGCTTTTTACCTCGAAGTATCTTTTGCGAGAAATTGTGCTTGATTGCCGCGGAACCGTGAGTTGATGATGCGGAAAGAGGCGAGCCAAAGCGTTCTCCTCGGTCCAGCGAGTGTCTCAGCAGGAATATCATCGTCTCTGCGCGATTTGAAAATCGAACAACGGGAAAATCGCGTCATTTGTCATTTCCTGCTAGAAATAAAACGCTGTGCCCCCTCAAAAAGCATGCACGAAAGAAACATTTGAGATGCTCGGGAATTTTTTTCGGAAATGCTGTATCTGAAAACCCATTCTTTTGGGCGCGGAAGTTCCCGGATCCTAGTCTTAGCCATCACTGCGGAATAAAGTACAGTACAGTAAATAACTTGACTCGAATTGAGTCTTCTTTCACTTCGTACTGTAATGGTTCAGCACCGAAAATGTCGGGATTGAAACATGTTTTTCGTCATGGATGACATCAGGAATTTTGTCACGAAAAATATTTCAAAGGTACTGCATTTGAGACGAGATTCCTTTCTTCAAGTCAGGGTGGCGGGTGATACCTTATTTCTTTGCAGAAATGAGGTCGGCAAAAATGTTTGTATTGGTTCAGAAAGGATTATATTCAATTTTCATCTCATATTATGTGCTTCTCCGTCTACTGAAACGACAACTGACTATTCCGCTTATGTTTATCGAGGAGGACGGATCAAGAGAACGAAAGGTCTTCAACTCAACACGCTTCATTCTTGAACGATCCCGAATGTCTTGATCCTATTTATTTCTCGATGAGATTCTAGTGCAGTACTCATCCCAGAACATTGAAAATATCAAAAAAGAAAGAATATCAGGGCTATCTGGAAATTCTTTAGGTTATATAGAGAGAGTAATAATTTGTAATCGTCAGGGATAAAATTCTACGTCGAGCGGCGCAACACCGAAGAAAAAGTCAGGAATAAACACGCATGGAAACAGGAATTGTACAGCTCGGTGTCCGCGTGTACGTGCGTTTGATTGCGACACACGAGGATAAAAATGTGTAACTAGTTTTTTTCCAACCTTTATTTTTAAATTTGAAAACGGGTCGACTGCGATTACCATGCGAGGCGTCGCAGAGGGGCGTTCCAGGCGACCTCAAGCCTTTTTTTTCCGCCGCCGCCACCGCCAGACCAGAATGTCGTCGACCAAGACCGCGGATTCCGGACGACCTTTGGACTGAATTAGGACGTCTTACAGACCAGTTTATCCTTTTTAGTGTTTCAACAAGGGCAATGTTAGCCAGTGGGACAAGTAGATGAGATACCATGAGAAAGGCAGAAGATGAGGTGTTCTTTCTTTTCTTTTTTTCTACTTCATTATTTTCCACGTCATCATGTGTTATTGGTGATGATTCACGCATGAAGTATCAGGCTGGATATTCAGATGCCACACCGTACGATCATTCCAAAGCACAAGCATCTGTTCAAAATGCAGAATGTATGTGTGAACAGCATTCCGTGCTGCAGATGGTCTCCTTGTGCTACGGAAATGCGTTTGCATGTTCTTTTTTGTAATTGGAGGCATTTTTAGCAGGGATATTTCTATTGGTTGAGGATATCTTGAAGGTGCGCGTGTCTAGGACAGTCCTCAGACGAGACCCCGTGAAGTCCTTATTGTAATACATCATAGTTCCTGGATTCCTCGTTTTTTATTTTTATTTTTTGGACTCAGTTCTCTGCATGCTGGTTCAACAAGTCAGAATTTTGTCAAGAAAAATACAAATATCCGGTACTATATTTCCGTTCTCTTGCCAATTTATTTGGTGTATACGCAATCTGTCCTCAAAGTTGCATTTTTAAATGAACTCAAGTCTCATAATTTCCTTTTTCTGTTGGCTGCGCAATGCCTGTGTGTCAAGTATGGGGACACACAAAAATTTATTTAATATCTGCAACCCTTGACCAAATTTTGACTATGCAGTAAAGTACTGCAATTGTTTTTCTTGATTACAGCACAGTTGAACCTCTCAAACTCGAATACCTGCCTATGTCAATTTTTTTTCAAGCTACTGTTTTCTTGATTCCCTTAGGAAAAAAAGGGGTTAAAACCCTCACTAACTCAAAGACTTTTCCGTGAAAACCTACATAGTCGAGATTTTTAGTACCTTTAGGCTATTATTACGATACTGTATAACTAAAAACGTCATTAAGTCAAAACCTCCCCAAGTCTTTTTTTTCTCCGGGTCCCCGCGGTTTCGAGAGGTTCAACTTGTAAACGTTTCCTCATCATGAAATCTCCCTGACTCGAATTATTCTGCTGGTTCCTTGGAATCCGACTTGAAGTATATACTGTACATTGACTGTCCACATCAGTGTTCCCCAACCCTTTTGGTCCCACGGACCAGCAAATTTCCCTGAAAATTTTTATGGACCGGCAAATTTCCAAACAATTTTCTGAGGACCAGCAACGGTTCATCAAATTTTCTGAAGTGAAGCAAATTTTTTATACAGTTTGTGCATGCTCAAACAAGTTTTTCTTGAAAGACAGCTTGAATGGCAGGTATTTGCAAAGCTTCGCTATTTATTGTGCAAAACTTAAGCCAAGAACCATTGAAGCTGCTATAGTGGATTGTCTTTAAAAAATGGGAAGGTGGGCTTGAAGAAAGAGTTCTCACTCAAAAATTAAATAATTTATCAAGTCAAGTAAAAATTTGTGTGAAGTATTATAGAAGAAAAGCCAAAATATGTTTTACATGAGATAATTTTAACTGCCGTTGTCTTGCCAACATTTTAGGTGAAGATACTACCAGTAGCATCCTTCATTGTTACTTTTGAATGGCAGGTATTTGAAAAGCTTTCGCTATTTTTTGTGCAAAAATTAACTCAAGAACCTTTGAATCAGCTATAGTGGAATGTCTTTAAAAAAAATGGAAAGGTGGGCTTGACGAAAGAGTTCCCACTCAAACATTATAATAATTTATCAAGTCAAGTAAAAATGTGTCTGAAGTATTATAGGAGAAAAGCCAAAATATATTTTTCATGAGATACTTTCAACTGCCGTTGTCTTGCCAAAATTTGAGAAAAAGATACTGGCTGTAACATCCTTCATTGCTACTTTTTGAAAAAATGCATTAGTCTGGATAAATTTCCCGCGGACCGGCGCCGGTCCGCGGACCTCGGGTTGGGTAACTCTGGTCTTACATGCTGAACATTGGCTTCATCATTGGCATGAATTAATTTCCTGGGATCCCGTTGTTTTTTTTTTTTGCGTGTTGCAGGTGCAGTGAATGCGAACGGGGAGACGAAGCGACAGCGGACGTCGTACACGCGGTACCAGACCCTGGAGCTGGAGAAGGAGTTCCACTTCAACAGGTACCTGACGCGGCGCCGGCGGATAGAGATCGCGCACGCGCTCTGCCTCACCGAGCGCCAGATCAAAATCTGGTTCCAGAACCGCCGCATGAAGTGGAAGAAGGAGCACAAGATGGCGCAGATGAACGCCCTGCACCACACCCACCACATGCCGCCGCACCTGACCGAGCTCACGGCGGCCGGCGAGGTCAAGTGACTAGCGCAAGACTATTCCTCTGCTTACCAGCAATGGCCCACTCACCACGCCACTTACCCGGGAGTCTAAGCCTCTCCTCGCCCCCCGCGTCCGCAAACCCTCGCTCGTGAATGGGGCATTTGAATGTCGGTAGAGTGAGAAGATGAGAGAGGAGGAGGAATTAAAAAAACCCACCTCTTTGTTTTCTACACATGCCTTCGTTCTTTTTTACCCCGTTTGTAAAATGAGCGACGGACGGACGGAGGAATCGAGGCTTGGTTACCCCCGAGTGTTGTCGCGCTCGTTTGCTTGCTTGTGCGCGTGTCGTCACTGTCGACAAGTGTTCGTTCGGTCGTTCGTTGGCGTCCGTTTTTTGTTTTTTAAAGAAAAAACGGCGCGTCGCGGGGTTTTGACGGAAGTTGTTGATGATGGCGGCGGCGGCCATGGGCAAGCGGCGGCGCGGAAAAAGCGGCGTATTTGGTCGAGTTGGGCAACAACAGGATGCACGGATCGAATTTTACACTCGCTGCTCCCATGATGACTTGAATAATTTGAATCAAATCTCGAAAAATAATAATTTAGGATATATTGCTTCTTTAAACGTGTCTTCACTTCTTCGCATTTTTTTAAAAATTGTATTGCTTTGCGAGAAGGAAGCGTGAAGACCGACGTGGCGAGAACTTCGATCAGTATTACCCCAGAAAAAGTCTTCGCTGATTTTATTATTTAAAATATGAGCTTGTGTTTGACGGGATTATTAACTGTTTCCATTATTGTAATTTGGTGATGTCTTGCGATCACATGAAACTTTGGCATAGCGTTTAGGTATAAAAAAAAATTGTTCCTTATTTTCATAAATGAAGGATAATTCAGGGAAATCTTGGATTTCGTGATTTTTGCTTCAAGCGTTTCTTCAGGCAGACGTCTAGCGAGATGATTTTGAATTTGTGTCCTCATGATTCTCATAATTCTTGTTTTTCATAAATTTATGCGTGATAAGGTTGACATTTCTCAATTCAACCTTTGTTTTTAAAGCTTTTTTGTTGCCTAACTAAACCTCAAGAGGCTTCGTTGATGATGAAGCCCGGGAGCAGCGAGTGAAAATGTTCGAATGGAGTGAGCAAATTTCGCCACGGACGCGGTTTTAAGGGCAGAAAAGACACCCTGGGTGTGAGACAGGGGGTATGCGGAAATGGGATCTGGGAAACCTTCAAAAGTGGGCTAAAATCTGCCCTGGTGACCTGGAGAAAAAAACATCCGGAACTTGAAACGAGCTATGCAAAAATTCCCTTGAGAGATTTCTCACACAGAAAAATTAAAAACATAGAGAGGAAAATTCGACGAAGCGAATGACTGAGTCATGATCGTGTTGAGAGACACGTTGTTAGTTTTAGAAACAAGCAATTTCCGGTTTGGTGCCATGGATTTATTTTCCTTTTTTTTGGCAGTTGAAGTTTTCAGCAACCGTCTAAACCTCACCGGTTAGTCGATTCCGTGAAACGGAAACGTAGTCAGAATTACAATAATTCGTAGAAAAATGCAGACTGGATCAGCTAATTATGCTTCTGTCGATGTCCAGAGAAAGAAAACTTTCGAGGGGAAATTTGCAAAACTTGTTCAGGTTTCCTGAAGAGGATTCCATTCTGAGAGACTGGAGAGCGCTTCGAAATAGTGGCACAAAAACCGCAATTTGCAGGAGCCCCAAAACTCTGGTAAATTGCGTCGATTGGATTTCGAAGCGTTGATTTTTTTCCATCATCCTGGGGATAAAACCAAGCAGCTGAAACTGGGTCAGTGTTTAGAATGACTGAAGATCTTGTCAAGAGAAATGTTTTCTGCCAAATTTCAGCTGCTTGTCTCCCCGGGAGCCGGTCGGTCCGTGGCGAGGAACGTTGTTGGTCTTAAAGCGAATTTCAGCGGAGGAATAGTCACCAAAAACAAAAAATAACTACAAACCCGATGAGAAAAAGAAACCCACCTTTTTTTTTGAAACAATGGAATTTGACAGCGATTGGATTTGTGGGATGCGTCAGATGTTTTTTTTTTTTTTTCAATGAGTGGACAAAGTATTGTATGCGAGTTTGTTCGTTTGACGTTGCAAAGACGTGTGGATGTGGGCTTTTTCCATGGGTGAATGTCAATTTTGTGCGGAAAAATAAGAAAAAAATTTGAAAACGAAAACCGTAAGAAAGGGGGTTTCGGCAGATTTTTTTTTTCACCCCACCAATGTCGAAAAAAATGGTTGTTTCCGTTCTGCGCATGGTGCGATAGAATTTTCGAATTTGCTGATTTTTTGAATCCCTCATTATTGGCTTTACGACGGACCTTTCCTCACTTTTTTTTCCTGTATTTTGTCCAATCAAAAGGATGTTTTTTTTTCTTGCTTTTCCGTGCCATGATCGAGATTCCTGGACCTTGTGTGTGTTTTTTTTCGTGGGAAGGAATTCATCTTGCTGGCAGCTTTTGGTTCGGTTTCAAGATTTGCAGTGCAATTTTTAATTTTGTTTCTGAAGTCCAAAAAAATTCTTTCCTTCATGACTTGATACTAAAGCGTCGAAGTACAAAATGAGTGTGCGTTTTACGTCAGTCGACAGACGAAAGCAAATTCATCATGAATAATTCAGCGACTTTTTTCCTTCTGGCTCTGCTCACATTTCTAAAGCGCGCGTCCGCGTGCTCTCGATTATTTGACATTTAAAATTTTCGACGAGGGTGATTATAGTCTTCGGTAACGAATTAGGAGGGGAAAAAACTGTGGAGGAAAAAAGAAAAAAAGAAAATTGGAACCCGTCTCAGTCCACAGCTTTACGTTGCTTCGGTTTTTTCTTCAGACGAAAAGAGGAAGAAAGGAAAGATCGCTCCCGTCTTCGTTTTTGTTTCTCTTTTGTCGCGGGGAAGGAAAATGACCAAAACCTTTGAGCTAGTCGGAACGATTTGTTTTATTTTTTGGAACGCTGTAAAACAAGAGAGAAAAAAATTGAGAGAAAAAAAAGAAAAACTGAGATGGTACGATGGTTATAGTTGAGTGATCACGCGGATCCCGTGAGTAAATCCGCGCCGATGTGTCTTTTTAGCAAACATTTTTTTTTTCGCGCGCAAAACAAAATCGGAAGATGCGTTTTTTTTCCCTCTATGTACTCAACGAATTCAGCAGAATCTTCATCGCGTTCGCCGTACCGGTACTTGAGTTGTGACATTCATTTGTTTTTTTTTTCTTTTATTTGTTTGAGCTGTTTTTGTTCGAAAACGAGACGAGAATAAAACGGGAGAATTACTCAAAATGCCGTGAACATTCCTTTTCTCACAGAATATTTCCTCGAATTTGCGGCTTATGTTGTACAAAATAATCATAATTTCATCATTATAATATGAGATTGTAAAACAATCTTAACTCAAATACATTACTGTACATGGCGAGAAGAATCTGTGGAAAAAGTAGAGATGTTCTATTTCAACTGATTTAGTCAGAATCACAATTTTTAAATACTCAGGTTCATTTTTACGGGCTGCTGTTCGTGAATTACTAATTGTACACAAATTTTGCGAACCTCTTCGAATCTTGAAAAAAAAAATTACCAGCTTCCTCTTCATTTTTTAAAAGCAGCTGATTAAATTTAATTTGGCAAACGAATGAGTGAGCTTTTATTTACTGTATATGCCGCGCTGTTACCAAGACATTTATGTTTGAAAGTGAATTGTTTTTTGGTCGACTTTGAAGATATCTTGTCGGTCTTCAATTTTTGATTCACCTCTGAAATAGCTTGAACTTCGGAAGGAAGTCCATTTTCAAGGCAAACACGTTGAGTTATTATGCTGAAAGTTAATTGTTAATTTTAGAAAAGATTTCCCTGAATGTTTTTCGGCGGTTTACTTTGATCAAATATTTCGTTCATTTCGAGAAAACGAGATATCAGACGAACCATACGCTTTTTATGGAAAAACTCTGGAATTGGTTTTGCTCCTATTTTTCATGTGCGTTTCAGGTAAAATCCACACCATCAGCTGGAAATGTGTTAATGTTCTTTTTTTGCGGTGTTTTTTGGCGAATCATAACCATTGCTAATGTGAAAGAAGGATCGAGAAGAAATGAAAATGTAGTCCGGAGGCGAACAGAACAAGATCATTTTTCTTGTTGGCCGTAGGGGAATCCGAACGTTATAACCATATACCTTGGCTACACTCACA